CTCCCTGCGAAGGGGCCTCCTCCTGCTGCACCTCCTTGCCTTGCGTCTCGGTCATGGCCGCCCCGCCTAGCCGTCCTGCGAGTTCGTCGATCTCGTCAGTCGCAGCATCGGCCGCCGCTTGCTCTCGCATCTGTTCCTCCTCTTCTTCGTCTTGTTCTTGGTCCTCGCCCCTCGCCGCCGCCGCGAGCTCCTCCGCCTGCCTCTCCTTCAAGACCCGCTCGAGCTCGGCGCACTCGTCATTGACGCCCTTGCGCGTCTTCTTCGTCGCGTTCTTCTTCTTGCTCGTCGTCCGCGCCACGAGGTCGCGCTGCTCCTTGCGGTGGCGTGCCTGCATCTGCTCCAACGTCTCCTCCATTTTGCGTCGGTTTTGGGGGGCGAGAGCTTGTCCGAGCTCGAGGTGACACACGTGTGGTGGTAGCGGGGACCTTTGCCGTTTATCGCGGTCAAGTTACAATGTCGCCAGCGCCTTCGAGTCGTGTGTGAAAGGGGAGGAGTCGAAATTGGGAGGGGGGAGCGACTACAAACACTCGCCTTGGTGTGGTAAGGCTCTCGGGTCTGTTGGCTTGTTGTGGGCTGAGTTGGGCTGGGAACAGGATGGCGGGTCGCGAGAAGAAGCTCGCTGGAGAGAAAACGGCTGGTCGATGGTGGGGCAATTTTTACCCCTCCAAAGACTGACTCCATGGTAATTATTGGCCCCCCCCCCCTTCTGTCCATTGAGTTGGAGCGCCTTTGGTAATTCCCTGTGCGGGAGTAGACCAAGGAGTTCATGCCTGAGAATTGCCAATATATAACTGAATGGACAGCCTAGCGGCTCGTTTCTTGACATTTAAAGTATCAAAACCTGGGGATCACCCTTCTTTGCAGTTCACAACGGTACGCGTCGAAGGAAAAAACAACAAGCTTGAAGCAGGCCAAAGAAATACATTGAACGATTGCTATGCTCGGCAGTGTCTTGACAAAGCCGAGGGGGTAGTGAACTCCTTATATCCCGTAACTCCCAAAACCTTTTTGACCCTGGAGGTCCCAGGTCATGTGCCCCAATCCCTTAAATCTTCTACAAAGATGATACATGCATGTGCATCTGGTGCTGGCAACCCAGACTCAGCTCTTTCATGCCCAGTGAAGATGAAAAGAAAAAACTAAATTCCGTGGATTCGATCATCGCGGAAAAAGTCCTCTTCTCCCGCCGTCTTACTCCCGCCATAGTAATCATTCGTACTACGCGTGCTTCGGGAATTCTGGCGTTCGCGATGCCTGCTCCGGCTCGACCTGCGACGATCTCCTTGCTACGCCCCCTTGCGCGGTAGCGGAACTCATCATTCTCATCGGGATCCCCATCGAAACCCCCAGAGAACGCCAGCGGGTGGATGAAAGCTTCCATGCGAACTGTGCCGAGGGCATGGAAAAAGTTGTTGGGCCGCGAGGAAGCTTCGGACGTTGGTGGGGACCCTGCCGTGTTTAGGCCCCCAGCTAGGACCCCCACTTGACGCCTGTGATCGATGAGACTGAAAAATATCAAAGAGAGCCTGCCGTGAAAACGCTGTTGCCTGCTTTGATATCGGTGTATGGGGGCCCTGCTGCGGGCCCCGAAAAGCCG